CTACATGAACAATTCACAAGCATCCACTTCAAATATTAATAATGATAATAATCTTATTTTATTTTTAGATGAAAAAGATGTTTTTTTCTGCTTAAATTAGATAAAAAATCTGATGATATATTTCCTGTTGGTAAAGAAAAAATAGAAGAAATATATAGAGATATAGATTATAATTGTAGAAATAATATAGGATTTGATCCTGTAGGAACTAGCAGAGAAATAAGAAAAGTAGAAGATATTATAACAAAACATACGGATATACAAGAAGAAATCTCAGAATAATTATTTAAATGATACATAACCAAGAAAGGTCAACCTATAATTTTTAAAGAACTATTAAAATATAAAGAATATTTAAAAGTGTTCAAAAGATTGAAAAATATAGATATAGGACCTGACTGATAAATTCTTAAAAGTATAAGATAGATCTTGCAAATAATTTCATTAAGGGCAAAATAGTACTTTCAATAGGAAAGACTATTGTGAAAAATACGAAGAATTCACCGGCCATTCTCAAAGTTATCCGGTTGAAATGGCAGAGAGTCGGTATTCCACTAGAACTGTCCTACTCTCAACTATACACGGTTTCCACACGGTTTGCGTGGACCCTAACTCTTTCTTCAAATACAGAATTACAGTGCATTTTTTTGTTCTTCTATGGCAACACCCCGCGCTTCCCTGAAACCTCCCTGAAAAAATGTAAATCAAAATCAAACAGTAAAAATTCTCCAAATCTAGTGACACCTCATATGTAGAGTGATACAAACAATTTTATCCGTTTTGAACTCTACTATTTCTATCATTTTTGTACCTATCATCATCCACCAGATCATCATTCATCACGCTTCCAGAAAAGGTTGCGAAATTCCAATCATTTGTATATAAAGGCAAAGCTTTTCTATATATAAATATATATGTTATCAGAGTTTAGTTATGGGATTATCTTTTATAGGATAGCGGATGTTGGTTTTTTTGTCCCCTCAACCAAAATTCCGGTTTTTTCATTGTTATTGGTGATTTTGGATCATCCCGGTTTTTTTATTGTTATTGTTGATTTTGGATCCTAGTATTGTAAAAACTTAGAGGCAGGCTTGCTTCTTCTTCTTCTTTGGTTTTTTGAGGGCTTTGGAAATGTCGCAGAAGCGGCAGCAGGAGGGTACTTCCATGGATGACAGCCGTCCTCGAAAAAGCCCTTCTTTTAAAAGGTGGGATAAATGATAATGACAATTTTGTGTGTTTATTTACCTTATAATTGGTATTTAATAATTTTGCAGATCCCGGGTCTAATTATTGTTCATTAATATGCAGTATGCTGGCTATTAAGAGTTTTGGTTTGGAATTGTTTTAATTTGAAGTGGGGTCTTTTTTAAAAGAAATTGGATTTAGTTTGAATGGGGAACTAAGAGGTGATTTTGGATTAAGTTTTAAAGAAGGGAAAAAAATTGCTTCTGACATTTTATTCTGTATGGATGAAAGAAAAGCTTAGGAATTGCTATCTAATTGATATGTTGTTTATGAATGATGTTTTCTGGTCAGAATTTTGAGTTAATTGATTGTTATTTGCTGTTTACGGGGGGTAATAATAAGAACTGAAATTCATGCCAATAGGCATATACAGCAGAAATAAAAAATACTGAGAATTAGAAATATACTTACTATTGAATGGTGAAAATGACATCAGTTTTCAATACAAAAAGAAAAGAGAAGTAAAAGAAATAAGTTTGTTCAACGAGATTCCAAGTGGACTGGCAGTGCACCATGTGGTAGTAACTTGATCCCAGTTGACAAAAAGGTTGAAAAGAATGTTAAACTATTGTCAAAAGTTTCAGCCCTAAGTCAAATGCATGTAGAAATGATATTGGGGAAAGCTTAAATGGACACTGGAAACATTATGTTTAGATGGTCACGAGTACTGGAAAAGTGGAACATTAGCAATGGCTAACTTGGGGAGAGTTGAATCTATAGATTTTAGAAGTAGAGAATGCTAGTACAAGATTTAGTCACGGTGTACTGATACTGGTTTTTTCTGGGTATTTTTTTCTTAGTGTGGTATTGGAGGTAATGAACTTGCAGAGATTGCAACGTCTTATGGAACCAGTTCTGGAGCCCTTGATTCGCAGAGTTGTAAGTTCATGGCTATGATGTTATTGCTTTAATGCCTTGCATTTGACACTGTATTGATAAATTGTTTTCTTAACATCTTCACTTTGTGATTGAAATTTACTCTAAATTTAGGAAAAAACGAAATTATGTTGTAAAATATGAGTTGCTTAGGTCAGACTGGATTTCTTTGCCAATAAGACAACAACTCATTTTTAGTGGTCTCTAGTCCATTTCTGTCTTAGAATAACAGCCAAAAAAACTGTCACTAGATTCGCAGACTAAATCCGACTTGTCAACGGATATAAACATTTCTCCTGTGTTTAGCCATTATATATTGTTGGTAAAAGTCCTTTTTTGGTAATAAACTTGAGCAGGGAGACGTTGCACATTTCATTTTCATCTACGACTTCTATAAAGTTGTACAAACAATTTGCGGAAATTGAACTTACGCGTGCATGTATATTCAATTAATAATTTCATACAACTATTTTATACTTAGATAAGCTGTGAGCATTCTTAAGCTTAATTTCTCTGTCCAAATTTTTGTTTGGACTGATATGTGGATGACTGCTATTAGAGGACCGTCCATATGGTCTTTCTGGTAGTTCTGTGTTTTCTTAAATACAATAATTAGTGATGGATTCCAATGTGAGCTTACAGGTGAAAGAGGAAGTTGACTCAGCGTTAAAGAAGCACCTGGTCAGCATGAACAGGTATATCATTAGTTTTTAATGGTAAAAGTAATAAGGTTAATAATACTGGATATTGTTGCCTTATTGTTTTGCTATTTCATTGCTGAAATGCTCTATTTCTTTTTTAGGAATTGTGGGAAAGATTTACACCCTTCTGAATCAAGGAGTTTGCAGTTATGTTTCTCAAATGCTATATCCCATCCAGTATTTACTGGAAGCCGTATTGAAGGAGAAGAAGGTAGCAATCTGAAAGTAGCTTTAGTTGATGATCTTACAGGGAAAGTTGTTTCCAGTGGTCCAGAATGCTCTGCGAAGGTAGAAATCATAGTTCTTGAGGGAGATTTTGATGGTGATGATGGAGACAATAGGAAGCTTGAAGAATTTAAGAATAATGTTGTAAGAGAGCGGGAAGGCAGGAGACCCCTTTTAAGTGGGGATACAATTTTGACTCTTCGAGATGGCAAGGGTTCAGTGGGTGATATTTTGTTTACAGATAACTCAAGCTGGACAAGAAGTCGTAAATTCAGACTGGGGGCCAGAGTTGTGGACGACTTTGACGGAATCAGAATAAGAGAAGCAAAATCAGAGTCCTTTGTTGTCAAGGATCACCGTGGAGAATGTGAGTTCTTATGTTATTTTTTTCCACCATGTTTATAATTTATTTCTAGAAACGTTGAATAATTGTTGTGGAATAATATGATAATTTCTGAAAACCATTAGAGTATAATGCTCTCATCATTGTTGATCAGGGGATTAGTGATACTGTATGCATAACGTTAATCGTAGTCAGATCGCCTATACATGTTAGTTATCTTTGTTAAGGGATCTTATATAAAATATACACACACACACACACATATATATGTGTGTGTGTGTGTGTGTGTGTGTGTATAGTATATCTTTGTTAAGGGATAAATTTTATGTCGGTTAAATATCAAAACAGACAACATGTAAAGGTTTGGGCTACTTTTCTAAATAAGATTTGATCCGATTAAGACTAAAAATAAAAAAAAGGAATATGGATTTCAAGATTGGTTGCTCAAACGAGCCACCATTTTGCGAGGGAAGATTAAGGGATGAATCTCACATTGGTTAAATATCAAAACATAGCTCAACATATAAGAATTTGTGCAGCTCCTCTTAGTAAGGTTAATTTTTTAAGATGGAACCCATCCTTAATAGACTTAAGGTCCAATATAAGCCTTTTCATCTAGAAATACTTATGTATGTTACAATTAGTTGTAAGCTCTGGTATTGTGTTTCTTGTATAAGTTTTACACCAGCACCTTGTTTGAGCTCCTGTGGTTTTCGGCAATGCTTACATCTTCTCTATCATGATGACTCGTGATATAATTATTGAAATTCTTGTTTCCTATTGAACATGAATTGGTTCAATTTGACCATGCACAAGAATTCACTGTCCCCCCCCCCCCCCCCCCCCCCCCCANTCCCCATGTAATAGAAATTTGTCCATCTTATCATTTTCTTTTGAGTTGGATCTCTATTTGGTCTTAGATTTGGTTTGCTAGAAGGTGTTCTCTATGTTAGAGTTTCTGTCCAACGGAGGGTATACAAATCTTTCCTTACATGGTTTTTTCTTCTTTCTTTTATTTTTTCCAAAGAACTTATATCAACTTTACTTTCAGTAGTAAATAATACTATGAACTTTTTTGCATTTCTCAACATTTGCAAAGCAATGCGGTTAACCATCTGATTCTATTTCTCTTTGTTCTGTTAACATGGTCCCCTAATGGTCTCTTGTAATCTCTTGTAATGTTCTGATGATGTTTCAATGATACTTAATAAAACTCGATACTTCTTAATGTAAGAGTTCTCTCATTATATAGAATCAAAATCACAATTAAATATGGTGTCTGTCAATTATAATATCTATTAATGGTAACCTATTAAATATGATAGCTCTCTTTATATTCTACTGACATCCCTCTCAAATTGATTATGAACTGGGGACGTTGACAATACTTGTTTCCACGAAAAAGAGACCCAAATCACTGCAACCATTTATGAAAAATAGTGACGAGGAGAGACCCAAGAACAACAAATAGTGCAAAAATAGCAAAAAATAACTCCAAGAACACTCCAAACTCCAAAGTCACCCTAAAGAGCTCACACCCTAAGAAGAATTGTCAAGAGAGATTCACGAAGTGTGCCGATTACACAAAATGAGCTCTATTAGTTGGAAGAATTTAGTTGAGCATATAATTCATATTCTAACAAAAGCTCTAACGACCAATGCATCAGCCAAGAATCAAGCAATATATCATTGGTCAAGATGCTATAGTTGGAAGAAATCTCACACCAAAAACTCAAAGATGATCCTCCTCTGAGAATCCAAAATCGAAGATAGACGGGATGAGATTTTGTTCCTCCTGTTGCGAGAAGACCCAATCAAGAAAACGAGCGAAGAGTTTAGGGAACTAGCTTTGATACCATGTCAAATATACTCAATAAAACTCGATATGTGAAAGGTTCTCACATTATATAGAACCAAAATCACAATTAAATATGGTAGCATTCCTTGTATTCCATTGACAATTTCAAATGGTATTGAAGTGTTTGATTTTGGCCCAGCCTTGTTTTATTTTTTTTAACAGTCAGCTATATCTCTTACTGTATGTGTCAGTTCAATCTGAATATTTTATTACAAATTAAACTAGTAAGTTATTAGGCATAACTGCTAGTCCATTAGGAACATCTGATCCTTCGTTAATGTCATTTGTTCATAGTGATATAATATATCACATGCCAGTGATTGAAAGGCTTAGGCCTGGGAACCAATAGTCATAGATTCATTTCTCACCAAAATATAGAAATATTCTATACCATTAGTCATTATTATATCTATGTTATGCAAGTAAACTTGGTTTATGCTCTTCGTTTCTTAGTGATAGTAGAATCATTGGAGTTAGAGTTGGTTATTTGATTGTTGGGATTCTTTTCTAGTATACGTCATGTTATTTTTCGCGCCCCAACCCCCCCCCCCCCCCCCACCCCCCTTCTCCTGCAGATTCTTGGTACAGGTATGTCTGCTAAAATGTGGGAAGTTACAGCAGAACATGCTCGAACATGTGTTCTTGATGAGAAATTGTATTTATACAATGCTTCTGGATCTCAGCAGAAGGATGGTGTTGTTTTCAACGTGGTAGGACAAGTGCTGGGGCAGTTCTTGGGCTGCCAGTATATTGCCGCTGATAAGCTGTCTGAAGCAGAAAAGGCAGGCTTCTCATATTCCTTCGACCTTTCACCCCTTTTCTTCCTCTTCTTTTAAGTTTACATTCCCACAGAGCATAGCATTTTTGCTTTTTCTGATCGAAACTAAAATAATGATCTGAGTGAATTTTGGCATCTGTATTTCAGGCCGATGCACGTAGCCTGGTAATATCTGCATATAGAGATTGGGATAAAGTTATCACTTTTGATGATGAGCCCTCTCTCATGGATGCCCTAACGTGTTCTTCCACTTTTCTGTCTTCTTCGAACCTACTGCCAGAGAGTTCTTGTAAGATTGACAGACGTGCTTATTCACAACAGAACCCCTCTTCACCGGATATTACACAATCAGTTTATTCAATTGGAGGCTTGAGTTGCTTGGACGATTACTTTCATGGGGTTGACCAACCTTTGGGTTTTCCTTGTGAAGTTTCAAACACCTTAACATTCGATGCAGATTCCACGACTCGAGCATCCTCTGCAAATGAGCATTTGACATGTTGTTTACTTCAGAATTCAATAAAAGAATCATCAAATGATTTACCGAGTGATACAAGTTGTTTTGTGCCAAGTTCAGCTCTTCCTGTCAAAGCTCAGAGGAGATGGACTCTATTATCCAGTGTGTTGAAATGGTTCATAATATTCAGAGTTGTGGTGAAAAAAACTGGTATTCGAAAAAAACCATTATATCGTTAATGGAGATATTTGAAAGTTGAACGCCTAACGTTGCAAAAGCAACAATGCTACCTGTTTGAATCACAGCCAGACTCGATATCATTTGCTATTATCGAGTAAGGATCGATGAAGTCTTGTAGCAGTCAGATATGCGTGTTTTCTGTGGGAAATCAGTGGACATATCCATCAATGGTGCTATATGAAGCTGTAAATTTTATTTTCATCAAGTTGTCCAGTGTTGATGTTGGACCATGTTTTATACAAAATGAGTACTTTTTAGTGTGAGGAGTAACAATGGAAAAGTCTCAACCGTTGATGGCCAATTAAAAGTGGAGATCGGGCTCGAAGTAGATAAATTATTATCAGATGTTTTCAATCTCTTTTCTGTGTTGTACTTTTGTCTTCAAATTTTTTGAAAGGAGCATTGTTGTCTTCAATTCAACAAAGATGAAAGGTTGGTAACAAAATCTCATTCTTGAAGGTTAAGGACCGAAGTGGAATACAGGTCAAACGTTGGGGACTCCTGCTTTATTTTCCTCACAAAAGAGTCCGTTAGGAGTTAGTCATACTATATATACAATCGGAGTTGAAAACCATACATATGGAAGGAGGGGGGCCCACGATAAATAAATAAATTATGAGCCCCTCCTATGAGAAGGTTGTCAATTCTGATTGTAGAACTAGCAAAATTCTTAGGAATTGTTATGGGTTATTCAAGTAGGCTAATATCCAAAAAATCGCAAAGTGGGAATTACAAGAAACATGAACTTAAAAGATTGAATTTCAAAAATAAAGTTTAAAGTTTAATTATGCAAAAATTAGGCAATAATTTTATATTTTAATATTAACAATACTATTAATAAATGAATTTATATGCTCCCACTCTATCCTATTCAAACACTAAATTATTTTCTCCCTCTTATTCCCGTCCTCTTATCTCTTTTGTTCCCATCTCTGTACTCTCTCCACACATGGATGGGTGCCACCATCGAAGACAACAGTGGGGTTCGTCACTGTAAGTAGTGACGCAATGCTTACAGCAACTACCTTTGACCGTTGCTGTGCAGTCGCACTTCGCTGTAACCGTCATTGCATAATAGCACTCACAGTGTTGCTCGCATCAGAGAAGTCACATGCAGTGGTGTCAAATGTTATCGTGTGTGGTGACCTCGCACAACAGCGTTGCGGCAGCGCTTCTCTGTGTAGCATCGCAATCGACAGTATTCTTTATTTTATTTTATTTATTGTTGGAGTGGTGGTGGTTGTTTCCATGTTTTGGTTCTTGTTGAGGTTTTTGTGGTGGTACATGTGGTGTTGACTACAGCACAGCTGGCGAGTATTGGTGATGGTGTTGGGTTTTTTTGTGGTTGTTGGAGTGGTGGTGGTTATTTTCATATTTTGATGTTATTGGGATTTTGTGGTAGTGCAAGCAGGGGCAGACACAAGGGAGGTTTTGGGGGTCTTTTGAGTTTTGTTTGTTTGTTTGTTTTTGTTTTTTTCTTCTTCTTTTTCAATAAAGCTCTGATTGATATGAATTAAAATCCAAATTTTAATATAAATTAAAATTAAAAATTAATTTTAATGACATATTTCATGAAATTAATAATTTCTCAACTTTTATCAAAATTATCAAAAATTTTGATTTTAATCTCCATCAACACATGGACAGAGTCATAATAAACTTGAATTTTTCCTTTTTTTCTTACACTCTCGTGACTCTCACTCATGCATTTTATTAAAACCTCAACTCTTCCAATTTTTAAAATTTATCTATAATTTCTCTACAAATTATAACATTTGCTTCATTTTCTAATCGTATTTTGAACCTAAATTTGCATTTCTCCTATCTAATTGTGTATATAGAATGAGTCTTAAATGATTATACCCAATTTGACTTATATATAACAATTGTGTTTATTTGATTGAATATTGACTATATGTTTTTTCTTTTTGTTACTTGAATTGATTGTTTGTATCCAATACACTGTAAATTCTTTAAATGTAAATATGCATTTTCTTATGATTAGCAAAACGTTAATAAAAGGATTGTCCAAAATTAAATGAATGAAAATGATGAACAAAATATTAATGAAGGAATGTATTTTTACACTTAATTCTACGTTTTCTCGAGTCAATTATAAATTATTCAAAAATCAAAAACAAAATATTCAATCTATACAAGGTCTGATTGTGCCCCCCAACTCAAAAAGTCTACGTCCACCTCTGAGTGCAAGTGGTGGATCTAGTGGTGGTGTAGAGGTGGCAATGGTGGTGTGGTACTGGCGATGATGGTGGTCACATATTGTGTTGATAGTTGTGGCATGGTGTTTAGTTGGGGTGGGAGTGGGATGAAGTGTGTTTGTAATTAAGTATTTACGTGTTTGTGATCGACTATTTGGTTAATTTGTAACCAACTATTGGTATCGATGGTGAGATTAGGGGTAGATTGGGGTGTTTGTTGTTTATGACTAACTATTTGGCTAATTTGTAACCATTTAATATTTGACCTAATAAATTCGATAATTTGTGATTGAGAAATAACTTGCAATTGACTAATTTGATAATTTAAGATCGTGAAATAAGTTGTAACTTATGAAATTGGTGATTTATGATTGATAAATAAATTGTAACTTATAAAATTTTGATTTATAACCGAAAAATAATTTGTGACCAATTATTTTGAAAATATATGATCAACAAATAAGTTGTGATATATAAGTATATAACCTTGATAAAAAAGTGTATAATTGTGATTTTAATATATTTAATTATTTATTAATCACCCGAGGTTTGAAATTATAAACTTGTTCTTTTAAAATTGAATTGTCCCATACTTAAAGCAAGATATGAATCTCTCCCGATCACAAAAGTGAGTAGCAAGTGGGAAGGCTTTTCATAAGGCCTTTCTGAAAAATATGAAGGGATAAACACATAATTCCCTAAATTTGGGGAACATAACGAAACTTAAAAAATAATGTTACGTTCAAAACCGCAATGACATAAAACATGTACATTGAGCCTCAATGGTCTAACGCTAGCAAGGCGCCGGGGCTCCAGGCTGGGCTCGTAACAAAATAAGAAACATGTAAAGCATTAAGGCCTTATTTGATATGGAAAATTTCCATTTTTCACTTTTTTTATTATTTTGATTGCAAAAATTTTCCATAGAATTCCTTCCCCCCCCCCCCCCCCCCCCCCCCCCCCCC